CCATTTTAAACTAGCTAGGAGGCTGGGCAGCTAAATGTAGCATGCAGTAACTAAAGCGGGGGAAAAATCTGTCTGTCCAATGATTGTAAACAGTCACTATAGGTCCGTCAGACTGGAGAAATTTTTGCAGAATTGGGACTGAAAATATTTAAGACCCATCGAATCTGAATTTAAGACATTTTAAGACTTTTTAAGGCCTTTTATTAGGAAAACTTTATTTAAGACATTTTAAGACTTAAGGACCCGCGGCCACCCTGTTTTAAATTAAAACACTGATGAATAATTTTGTGATATTCCCAAATTAAATGGTACCGAAAATATTTAAGACCCATCGAATCTGAATTTAAGACATTTAAGACTTTTTAAGGCCTTTTATTAGGAAAACTTTATTTAAGACATTTTAAGACTTAAGGACCCGCGGCCACCCTGTTTTAAATTAAAACACTGATGAATAATTTTGTGATATTCCCAAATTAAACGTTTATTTTGTTGGGATGTCGTGAAAACATCCAATGAAATTACAAAATGCTTCTAAAATGACTCTCAGAGCAGCTCTGGAGTAGGCTTGCCGCGATAGATGGTGCTGACAGTGTTAAGCCTCAACACCGGTTACGTCACTTGCCCACCGCGTCACCGACCCCCACCGTCGTTTAGATTTTTTCTAGTAATAAAAATCATTTAGTTCAGTAAAAGAGCAGACACTACAATTAATAACTGAACGCGGATGCTCAATGCAGCGTGCCGAACGACAGTCGCATCACAGATCAGATTTCGTTTCTCCAGTGAGGAGAGTGAGTCGAGCTGACTGACAAGAAGAGTGAGGTGAGACAGAAAAGACAATGGCGGATGATTTAGTTTTGAAACAAAATGCAAAAGCGCCTGTTTGGCAATATTTTGGATTTTGAAAAGCCTGTTGACTTTTGCCTTTTATCTAAGGTGATTTTGGAAGTTTTTTTTTTAAACATTCGTTTCTTTTTTAATTGGTTTCACATTGTTTGCTGATTTTTACTTTATTTAAACTGTGTCATTTATTTATTTTATTTGACATTTGTTTTGCTAATAAACGTTCTACGTTTCTTATTTATTTGGTTATATATTATACATGTTTACTTAGCCTATTTCCAGTTTTGTATACCTATTTAAACTTTAAGTTATTTGTTATTTTATATTAGGCGGCTTGCCCTATAGCATGGTGTATTTTTATTTGTTTTGTTAATAAAAGTTCTATGTTTTATATATACGCTAAAGTGAGTTTGACATTGTATTTTGTTGTTGCATTCAAGCAATTGACGCCGAACTGCCGCTAATTCGAAAGTGAAAGTAAAATGCGCACAGCGCTTTTAAGCTATTTAAAAGCGAAGGAAAGCGAGGAAAAGAGGGAAATTTCAAACAATTGCTTTACTCCATATTGCCGCTATTTGAAAGTTAAAGTAAAATGCGCCTTGCCGCTTTTAAAAGCTATTTAAAAGCGAAGGAAAGCGTACTTTAAAAGCCGACATCTGGGCACATTTCGGCTTTTATGAACAACCTGGTAAGCATGACCTGGAGAAGACACACGCTGTGTGTAAATCACTTCCCACACAAATAAAATATGCAGGGGGTAATGCCACTAACTTGAGAAACCACGTCAGGTTCAGTTCATATATCTCACTGCTTGATTTATTGACAAAATTGTATACATTAAGTAAAATTGAAAATTGAGGATGCAGTGCATCGACCGGTATTACCGGTGTTGTCACACGTCGATTAACCGGTGGGAAAATTTCCTCACCGTCACAACCCTACTCTGGAGATGAACTTCATGTGTTTATATACTCATATAGTGAGACAGCAGACACTAGAAACATGCTTGAGTAAACTCAGACAAAACCGGGCCGCTCTTTTACATACAGACATGTAGAACAGGCAGACTTCATATTTAAACAGCTTTTATATTAACAGACACTAGTCCATATCATGACATAAGTGCTGCCCTACTTTTGATTTTTATTAATCCAAAATTAGCCACATTTTCTGAAATTCCACATTATACACATTTTTTGTTCCCACTTTTTCATTGTATTGACCACTCATTATATATCACTGACACACCATCAGGACTCCGCACTAATTTCACACAGGCCTAATCATCACTAGTCAGTCTATGGTTTCCTAATAGTGTCACCTCCCTTCCAAAACACGTCTGCCAAAAGCATTACACAACAACCATTCAGCCTTGTCAAACCCGCACGTCATCCAACAGCACTTTATTATGGAATGCCAATCCTGCCACTGTGATCGCGTGCATTTGCTGAAGCTCCCGAAAGCGTGCTTTCTTATGCGCGCTGTTTTTTAGGTTTCACTTTCATTTTTCTGATTTATGAATTAATGAATATTTCGTTTTATAGAATGGGTATTCGTTATGTTCGTATATTGCTTATGACGAAAATTCATTAGCCTAGCCTATTTGTTATGAAGTTGATTTAAAATTCTTCATAACAAATTTTAAGAAGAAGTTAAAAGTTAAGAAAGAATGAAATTAGCCTACAGATGAGGACGATTCGGTATCGGTTCAGTAATAGACCATAACCGATTATAACGTACTGATGCTTTTCTGACATCATTTGTCGCATACGTGCTTTGTTGCGGTAGCATATAATGGCGGAGGGAGGCGAGATGCGAGTGCGAGTAATTAAAAATGCTCCAGCTACTTTAAAAGCCGACATCTGGGCACATTTCGGCTTTTACGAACAACCTGGTAAGCATGACCTGGAGAAGACACACGCTGTGTGTAAATCACTTCCCACACAAATAAAATATGCAGGGGGTAATGCCACTAACTTGAGAAACCACGTCAGGTTCAGTTCATATATCTCAAGAAGGGCGTGTTTTACCTCAGGAATAGCAATCGAGCCAGAGTAGGCGAGGGGTAAGCGTTGAGGCCACAGTGACACCTTGTGGTGCAGAAACGAAGTACAAGAAGTGTAAGCCTACATGATGCGCCGATAATTGTAATCGAACCGAACCGTGAGACCAGTGTAGGTTCACACTAACCAAGAGTGTGTTAAAACAGACTTTTGATATGAAACAAAAGCAGTTGCAGCTTTATTTACCCATGGTATGCCTTATGAAAAGAAAATTAAAACATTCAACCCGATTTCCAGAAAATACAGCGCTATATAACGTGTATCACCTTTCAACCTAAAAATACAAAGACGTGATTTTTGGTCCACATCATCCAAGCCTACTTGAAAGTCAGGCAGTTTATTCATTGTAAAATATATTTAGCAACTTGATTGAAATCCTCGTAGTTAGAAAAACACTGCTCTCTTTGCCAAACACACATGCATATCATCCGATTAGTTATATCTAGTAGTATATTTTAAAATGTTCATTCCCCAAATAGCTACAACAAAGTTGCAACAAACTGCTTTTCAGCACTGATAAAAACCAATGGTTGAAGTAACATTGATACATATTTAAAGGGCTTTTCCATACAGGCTGAAGTCAGGTCTGACTGCACTGACCCACATGGTCATTTCAAATCACAGCACTTAGTTTTCAGCTCTGACTGCGGTTGACCAACAGGTCAAAGAATCCATGAGGGAAACAGCGAAAGAAACACTGCAACAGTTGAGCAATATATCAGACTCAGTGGCCTCATATCAGACAAGCTTTACACATAACTAATACTGTTTATCCCAGGGTTTCTGCAGGTTTCGCAAAGGTAGATGTAAGAGTTTTTAAGATTTAAGAAACGCTGTATTAGCAATGCTTTAAAGTTTGAAAATACAACTTCCAACATGTCTCTATTACTTTTTAATTCTTTTATTAGAAGAAAAAATTAAAATGTATGGCTTTTTGTCATCCACTAGTCTATGAAAATAATTTTTACTGTACCCTCTGATCACACTGCAAAAAAAAGCAATGCTTATTCTCAGCATTTTGTCTCCTTTTCCAGATTCTTAAATCAAAACACATTTACTTGGGAAGCAAAATTGCACAAAATAAAAAAGTCTTGTTTTGTGAGAAATTGAGGCGTACAAGAGTTTATGATTAAACCAAATATTTGCCAATGGGCTCAGAAAAATCAACTTAATTTATTGGAAAAACAAGTTTTCATACCCCGTTGACAATATTTGCTTGCTTTAAACATAAACGTTGTTACATTTATCAGAAAACAGGACTTAAAGACATTTTAATTTTGAGGATATTTCGATAATTGTATTGAGGAAAATGTTCATTTTTTGAAGCACATGCACATTTAATGCCATCATTTCATGATTTTCTGTTTCAATTCAAGACCTTTTTAGTCCTCAATTTGTGGAATAGTGAATTAAGATCTCGTTAAGACCCGCAGAGAGCTTGTATCATAATCCAGACAAATAATAATTTGAGACCTGTGGGAATGCAGACTCCAAGCACACAAAAGTGAATTCATATTCACATGCTAATAAACAGCAGCTCCTCACAGTCGGTTTAATTTAACCCAGTAATACTGGTCAATATTAGCTTCACTGCAGAGATAATATAACATGACACTCGATGATTCAACAAACCGACATGAAAATCATCAGTCACACGTTTCCTGCTATTGCTTAACAGTTAGTAAGACAGACATTCGTTTAATAATTGATCAGGAGGAAGAACACTCCATTGGCTGAATGCTTCCCTATCAACACGCAAATAAAAGCAGAGTAAACTCTAACAAGTCATGCATTTAAATGCAATCTACGACACCCATCCCCCAAGCTCCTTCAACTTCTGCTGGCACGTGAATGAATGCCTCTGCTGAATTCGTTCGTAACCTGCTAATGCATGCATAAAGAACGCAACGTTAACAGAAAATATCTTGACATCCTCGTCAGGTGTTGCATGCGCATGCACAACAGGTAATGCATGCTTATGCAGAGGCGATAAAGGCGTGCGCCCGCCTTTCCCTCCGGTTTTTGACAGCCCCGGTGGTTCCGCCTCAAGCAGCCGTGCGATTCATCCCAAATACATGCGTTTCATAATCATACCTCACTTTCCACGACATCGTGATACGCAGGCGGAGGATCAAACCCTCCGGTGCCCGTGCGCCCGCTGTTCTCGCCGTCTCCGCTGAGGCCGGAGCCCGGGGAAGGGCCGCTTTCCATCGGCTCGTAGCCGTATCCGAGTCCCGGGCTTTCGTTGGTGAGCAGCGCGACAGCCTCGTTGATGTCGTTTTTGGCCAGGCGCAGGGCTTTTCGGATGGCCACCGGGTCTGGGAAACCCATGCATAACAGCGTGGTCATATGCTGCTCCTCCTCTGTCTCCATCATGGAAGTGTGTCGATGATCCGGGCTTCAGTAAGGGGACACATAGCACAGGCATCCGGCTGTGCACGCCGCCATGTTTACAGTCGGTGGTGCTGCTGGTATCCTGTCACGATGGATTCCCGTCACAGGCAGCGGGCTGAGAAGCGGGCCACGCCAGGCCTGTGAAGCGGGCGACGCCAATAGATCGCTAGGTGGGTGTAGACGGGAATACTTTTCAAAATAAAGGTCAAATAAAAAACCGCATTCATACTACTACTATTACTACTACTACTACTACACATAAATAACACTAGAAGAAAAATGCATGTATATAAAAATAATGAGATTTAAAAATAAAACAATACGGAGCAATACAATTAAATTAATAATACAGAAAAGTAAATACATATATGTATATATATGTATTTATTTATATTTATACTAATTTTCACACACATATGAATGATCAGGGATATATTATATTATATATTATATCCCTGATCAAATTCATATGTGTGTGAAAATTAGTCAAATATGACTCAATATGTACTATATTATAAATAGTACAGTTTCTACAATAGTACAATACAAAAGTATAATATAATGCATTTTTAAGCAGATTATTTATTGATCAGTTATTTATTAGTTTATTTGATCAGCTTATTGTGCATCACATGACTGGGTTTGAATTTAATTACATTTAATTTCAAATTAATTATCTCGACTCTATCTCTCTCTCTATATATAATGTAATATATGTATTTATATTATTTATATTTATATGTATATTAATTTTCACACACATATGAATGATCGGGGATATTGTGCATCACATGAATGGGTTTGAATTTAAATAAATTTAATTTGAAATTAATTATCTCGACTTTCTCGCGCTCTCTCTCTCTCTCTCTCTCTCTATATATATATATAGATAGATAGATAGATAGATAGATGGATAGATGGCATTTAGAATCCACACAAAAATACATGAAATAATCATTATTTTGAAATGCACTCGGCCAGAAATACACTTCATAGAAGCTCATTGTTCTTTGCTTCACTCTTTTTAAATTAGCAGAGTTGTCATGCAGCCCCACCCATATCTGTATATGAAACGTGTTTTTTGACCTATACTTTATTAATTATAACCCTTAATGATACACCTTTAGATTTCACATCTCGTATTTAGGAACTGTAGCCTATCTGACATGCATGTCAAAAAGAATATTACATACAAAAGAAGCAAGAGTATCGAATCTGACTACTTTATCATTTTTAACATATTCTCGTAACGCTTCATAAAAAAAGTCTTATATCAGTTTCGTTTCACCAGAATTAAAACACGATTCGGTTTTATTTCCCTGCATAAGTCACGTGAAACTGGTTGGTCATGTGATCATGTGATGTGAAAATGGCAGCTTCGGGGGACGAGGCCGCGGCGATGGAGAGCGTCAGTAAAGCATCGGTTCCCCCGACCGACCTCAACCTCACCGCCGAGCCCGAGCACAAGAGAGATGCGGCCACAAACGATGCGACGGAGAACCAAAAAGCCAAAAGACCCAGTAATAACAGTAAGCTGCTTTTGTAAACAGACCAGCCTGTGTGCAAGTCACTGCAACTTCATCTATTACGATTCTCTTAGCTTTCCAGTGCTGCTGTTGGTCCTGTTGTGTTTGTGTCTTATTTTTGGGTTAATGCAACCTGTTTTGGGCTATTTGACTTGTCCTGTTTCCAAAGAGAATGATGCGTTTTGTGTACATTTGTAACTAGACTGTGTCTTAAAACCCAGTAAGCGTTGCACTTTTGGGCATCAAATACATTTAGTGCTTAAAAATTAAGCCTAGGTAGGCAGCTCACTAGTTTTCAGTACACTAGAAGTGTTTGCTGTCTGTAACAGATGACGGAGGAGTGGAGACAGCAGAGGAGGCCACTGAACCCGCTGAACCTGATATCAATGAGCTCTGCAGAGACATGTTTGACAAAATGGCAGTTTTCTTACAGGGAGAGCTCACCGGTAATGATAATAAAAGAACAACAATTATTATATTTCTCTCTCTTTCAGTTTATATATAGACTTATAGAACTAACTGTGTGTAATATTTGTTCCGTTTACTCAGCAACCTGTGAGGACTACAAACTCCTGGAGAACATGAACAAACTCACCAGTCTGAAGTACATGGAGATGAAGGACATATCCATCAACATCAGCCGCAATCTACAAGATCTCAATCAGAAATGTGAGAAATGGGGCAGCAATATATAAAATCAGCCAATGTATGTTTTGTTAATATAACATTGTTCAAAGTACACAGTGTTCAAAGTACACTTATGTTAGTGTTTTATTAACATTGCAAGCGTTTATTTTGTGATTTGCTAATAAGTGAGTATTGAAGCCATATATTGATCATCTTAAATTATGTTCTCATTTTTGGCGTTAGATGCCAGTTTGCAGCCTTATCTGGATCAGATTAACCAGATCGAGGAGCAGGTTACGGCTCTGGAACAGGCTGCTTATAAACTAGACACATATTCAAAGAAACTGGGTGAGTACAAAAATCAACAACTCTCTTTTTGACTGTTTTATTATTTGCTTTTATACAGTTCAAATTAATTTAATTACAAATTATGAAGGACACCATTAGGCTTGTCTGAAGTCTGAACTGTGAATTATTTTGATTGAACCTACCCTAAATGTACTGAAAACAAAAGATGAGTTGATTGTCGTGACAATAGGTTGATGCAGTGATTGTATTTTTGTAGGCCAACCCAAAGTTAGCATCATCTTGATTCCTTTGACAAAAAAAAAACAGTAGGATTTTTCCCTTGGCATTTGGATTATTGCAGAAAATAAGCTCTGTGACCAACAAAAGTTTATGATTCTTGCACATTTTGTTCGTCATAATAATCTTCACAAATGAACACCATTTTTACCAATTCTGAAGTCTAAATACAATTAACAGAAGCTGAATATAGGCTATTGGAACAGTTTGCAAGAGCACGACTATAAACTATACAAGGCTATACAAGTGGACTAGTATGTAGATAAGTTTAACTCTTTGATTTGATGTTAATGTTACCAAATGCTTTTTTCAAGACAAGCTGTAGAAAAACACACACACACACAAGTGGTTATTACTGGTGTATTTTACGCTGTAGAATAAAACATGAAAATATCTTGAGCTTGTGTTCACCACAGACCTTATTTCAAGCATTTAACTAAACACCCGGTCAAAAAAACCCATTGACTTCAGGATGATGGATCCAGAAGTGCTAAAATGCAGAAATATGCAATATATGCAGAAATATGCACCTCTGCCCTGTCTGAAAGAGAGAATCATGATGCAACACAACTAGTTGATTTCTTATCACAATCAATACAGCCATCTGCTCTGTTGCCGCCCACTTCAGATGACCCACACACACAGCATTTCTATTTTTGGTGTGCTGTTCAGCTACGTTTATTACAGTTTTACTGTTGCAGTTCATCTGAAATCAAATCATTTATCATATGTATTGATTGAAAAGTACTGTATTGACCATCATTCAGAGCCATCTTATTATATTTCAAGTTTTTGGCCTACTAATTTATGAATCACTGAACAATTGATTAAATGGACATTAGATGGTGCTATAAGACCAAATAAATGCTCTGGTTCCTCTTTTGTTATAGAAGTGAGCTCATTTTGTGAGATTAATATAATACTCCGATGTGTAACTGAACTACTCTCAGTATTTCACTTGTGTAATTGTTTGTGTGTTTATTCACAGAGGCCAAGTTTAAGAAACTGGAGAAGCGGTGAAAATGACTAGGAACTCCTGCAAAGTAGTCATTCTCAAATTATATCTGCAAGTCTCTGAGATTTTTGTTTGTTTTATGCACTAAACAATCTTCAAACCGATATCACATACACTATGGCAGTGTCATAATCTCTGAGTATACATTGTGCAGCAAGTAACCTTAGGTACATAATATCGAATGCTCATTTATTGATCAGACGCTACACAGGCTAGACTGCAAAGGGCAGGAGTGTAGAGTTTGACATGCTTTCTGACCAACTCCTGATTTCAAAATACACATTTAAGATTCAAAAAAGCATGAATACAGATAAACCTGTACAGTGTATTTAAAATAGCTTGTTACAGTATATGTCGTTAAAGATGATTTACACATCATTTCTGTTAAATAGTGTTTTTTTCCCCTTTTTTCTGTACGTTTGCAGTTGAAAAAAAGCTAATGTTTTGTTGAACATTTGTATTATTAATTATTTTCAAAATCTTAACTAACCTAACTAAAATGTCATTTTGTGAACTTATGGAATTAAAAAAAAAGAAGTGTGAAGTGAATGTTATTACATATTTTAATATGGTGCAGTTAACAAACGTACCTCACATTTTATACCGCTGCATTTGTGCAATTATGATTATTTGCAGCTGCTGTTAGATGATATAGTCATGCAAACGAACAAATGCAGTTCTTCTTATGTTTTGTTTTATAATATCTATGAATTGCTGTGATTCAAACCTCTCTCTTCATATCCACCAGAGGGCATACGAAGCCCACACATAGTCTGACTCAATCTTTAACCTGAATTTGACTAGAAGCCACAGTGAAAGATCCAGAGCCATGTATGGTGAGGCGCTCATCCACATTGATAGTGGCCAATGTATCATATGTTCAGGCTCCAATGTCAGGATACCAAAATAATCAGCATGGGGCCATTTCATTTACTTTATAGACAGTGTAACAGTCCATAGCCATTACTGTATTGACCCACATTCATTTAATAAATTTACTATTCTGTAGTGTCTTATTTAATAAGAAACATTTAACAGTACACGATATGATATCAGGTCTTTGACATATTTGATATTTTCGCAATTTGAAATAGTCTAAAAGAACAAACCAAATTTGTCTCTTTCCCACTTTGATTTTGACCACACACACTTGCTGTTTATAACGTCACAATGTTATTCTCTCTACCTAGAAAGTTATTCTCACTCCCTTGATATATTTGCTCTTTAAACTTAAACACACTTTACACATAAACACAACATTGAGCCAATATAAAGGCCGTCTCTAGTCGCTGATAGCAGGTTTTCTTTATCTTTTAAAGAAATGATACGCTGTCCTTCACTTTACAGTTTTTTATTTTTTATTTCTTATGCACTTGTGTGGTGCTGGTCCTGATGTTCCCTTGGCCACATCTTTCCTTTTTCCACAAACAGGTGCTGCTTTGCCTTTTTAACCTCAGAAACTGGAAAGCTAGACTATGTAAATTATTTGTTTTGGTTGCATCGGATGAATGTAGTACTAGGCGGCGGATGGATAAATAATGTTTTTCTTTTTCTTTTCTTTTTTACCTTTTTTTACCTTTTTTCCCAGAATTCTGAGTTTACATCTCGCTTTTTTCTTTTTTGTTGTTTCTGCCATTTTTCTCTCACAATTGCAAGTTTATCTCACAGTTCAGACTTCTCAGATTTACAAGTTTATATCACAATTGTGAATTAGCGTGTGTCAATTTTGACATTTTTCTCAGAATTGCAAGTTCATAATTTTGACTTTTATTAGAATTTGGAGTTTATACGCATCTCATGCTTTTGATTTTTCTCAGAGTTCGGAGTTTATATCACAATTCTGACTTAAAAAATATATATCTTAATTGCAAGTTTGCAGTTGTATTTTAAATTGTTTTCAAAATCTTAACTAACCTATATAAAATGTAAATTTGTGAACTTTTGGAATTTAAAAAAAAAATCTGAAAAAATGTGAAGTTTATATTTCACAATTCTGACTTTTTCTCAGAATTCAGAGTTTATTTGTCATGTTTCTGACTTTTCTTATATATCTTAATTCTGACTTTATTTCCTGAGAATTGCAGGTTTGCAGTTCTGACTTTTTTATCTGAATTGTGAGGTATCAACTCCGAATTCTGAGGAAAAAGTTAGAATTGTGAGATTATTGTTTATTTAACTGTAATTCCATCAAAAATTGAAGAAGTCTGCCTCTGTCAGTTCTGATTACTATCAGTTCTTCATCAGTCTGAAGTTACTCATCTAGTCCTCAGAGATCAGTTTACTGGAAATGTGTATGTAGGTGGCAGAGGGGTCTGTGGTAATCCTTGTGTGTAAGCCTCACATACATCTAATGCTATGCTGTGCGTATGTTGTGTTTACAGTAATTAGATCCCGGAATGCTGCTTATAACATACACTTGAAAGGAAAAGTAACTGAGCACAATGACTCAATAATCAACACTTCCCCCAGTCCACGTACAGCCGGATTTATGCTGTTAGTGGGCTTCAGTGATGAGAGATGCTCATTGGTTAGTTCCCCCCACCCTCGGGGACTCTGTTTCTCCAGTGCTTATATGTAAAACAAGCTTAGTTTCAAACACAGAGCATGTCTTTTACAAACATCTGACATATATCTATGATTACAGTCATATTTTGTTCATCACGAGTTGCTGTGTTTGCTGGCTGAACTGGGTGCTACACCCTCCTAAATAGTTTTAACATTGCGGGGCAAATCCCGGGCAGAGCAGCAGAGGTCATGGATACAGCCATTTGTATGCATGTGGATATGCTTAATCACATTTTTTGACAAGACTAATTATGAGCCCCTGTTCGAGTGGGTAATTAGTGTTGAGTGGCGCTAATGTTCTAGTTGCCTCCGGGGCTTTTAAGTCCGCTAACATGTTCTAACCTACGCACTTTGAATTACTGCCAACACTGGGTTTCTGGTATTATTCAGGACCAGCACATTGAGTAATAGGCCTACTTTTTTTTTCAAGGTATGTTTTATACATATGGTTTAGCATATGATATATTATGACAGGCAGGACCTTTTAGTGATGCAGCTCCAAATATTATGCATTTGTACTTTTAAGGATATATATCACACAAGCACTGCTGACAGATTAGACCAACAGTGCAACTGCGAATGTGATATTGCTTTAACAAAACAGTACATTAAACAAGTTAATACTCAGTAACTTACATTTTAGGCAAACAACTGCTCCGTCAATGAAAATAGTTACTAGTACAATCAGCACAAAGTGGTTGCATTTCTGAATGAATCAGTTAAGTGAATGAATCAATGACACTCAGTCACTTGTTTATTGTTTCTCAAAGCAGTGTTGTTGAACGAATCGGTTGAGTTCGTGATTCACTAATAAAGACAATGTCTATATCTGAATATGCTACTAAATAGGAAAAAAAAAAGTATTTTAAAGAGTAGTATGTCCGAATTCACAGTATTCATAAAATAGTAACCAAAACGTACCCAGATGAATTGCTGCTACTTCCAGCGAGATTCTGAAGTGCACATCCATCGGACACTATACTATCCCATGAGGCCACAGGAGAGGATTCGCGATAACTGACACTGGAAGGTCACATGACAATGACGACATGATGAAGTATGTCTGGATTAAGTACATACTACACACATTCATACTATATAGAACATACTTTTTAATGGTCACTAAGTAATTACTTCAAAATAAGTACCAACTTAGAGAGTATGTGATTTTAGACATAGCCAGTCACTTCAATGGATCAGAGCTTTTCAATGAATCAGTTGAAATAAAGTTGTTAAAAGAATAGTTTGAGTTCAAGATTCAATGATTCACTCATAAAGACACTGGCTCAATTTGGAAAAGATAGAGACAAGAAATACAGAAATGGGTAGTAGAGTAGTATGCTGTTCCAAATTCAGTCACGTGATTGTTCCTGAAAGAAATCAGTGAGTTGAATGAGTTATTCAATTAATCGCTCCTAAGGACAGTCACTTGCTGCCACCTACTGGCAGATCTCAAGAATAAAAATGTGCAGTTAATTGTAAAGAGACGTGGAAGATCAAGTTATGACATTTTAATGAAAAATGATGTCAAAAAAAAAAAAAAGTTGCAAAATGAAACCTGCATGGATGATCCATTCACAATAAGATTAATAACATCCATCCATCGATTTGGGAAGTCAAAAACATGAATTTAAAGAACTGTTTGGGGGAATTTTTTTATTTTAACAAAAATATAAACCACTATTATACAGCTTAATGTGTCTAAAACAAACACTGGCAAGCGCAGTGATACAAACAGTGAAAAGTCAGACTTGGTTGCTGTTGGACTGTTACATCAGCAGTCTTGGAACACAACTTGACCAATCAAGTTTGAGGACTGGAACGAACTGTTGTATAAATGAAGTTCAATGCCAAATCCTAATGTGCTTTCTACTCTCTGTATGAAATATACACTAATACTGACACCTTCTATGTCATAACACAAAAAAAAGGTGAAAAGAGGATTATTTCACTCAAAACATGTGCCAAGGCCAACACAAATTCTGTGTCTAAACCATCTAAGTGTATTTCAGTGAAAGAAAATGGCAATATGTCTAAAAGCAGAGGATCTCAGTGTTGTAAATGGCTGATTGCCCGATTCAACCACAGAAAACACATTAGCGCACCACAAATGTGACATGCATGAACTCCTTCAACCTCAATAGATTTTTCACCAGTGGGTTCAGAAGGAACACAGAGCTCGTAAAGTCGTGTGGTGTTCACCAATCATTCAGAATCAGTATTCCTGACTCTGAGACACTTTAAGGAAGATGTGGCGAAAAATCAAGTGTAAACATTCTTCACATTAGGCAGTCATTTTTATTTTTCCTCTTTGAGAATTTTCCTCACAAAATAATGTTCCAAAAACTGACCACGGCTGTGAAAACGGGGGAAGTTTATTATATGAAAAACAACCAAACCTTGACTACTCAATGGCTTTTGCCTACCGAATACAAGCAACCAAATATTTTGGTTGTTGTGTACTTACACACATATGGTTCCCTGTGCCGGAGTATGACTCACCATCCGACAGTTGTGTTTAATTTAGGACATGAATGTGATGCTAACAATATGCTAGCCTTCCTTTCATCAAACGATTCTTTAGTCATGGGCCATAGCCTTTAACTCCCTTCTGAAAAAGAACTGTGCTTAATTGTATTGTATGTGCACATTGTATGTGCACATCTTAAAAGAACATTAAAAAAAAACTACTTGTAGATAATATATGAATTAAATAAAATGCCACTTAAGTCTACTTACAGAGAGAACACTTTCATGACTTTCAAGGGTAACACTTTATTTCGATAGTCCACTTTAGACATTCTATTAACAGTAAGTAACTTTGCAACTACATGTCAACTAGCAGTTAGTAGC